AAATCCCTTTTCCAGTTGGTTTCTAGTGGTCAGTGGCAGTCCAGACTGGTGAATCTAGCTGGGTTAGGATCTGTTTCTGCTTGCTGGTGCTGTAGTTCCTTGGTTTTACTCATCCCCCCTCTTATATTATCTTAACGCAAATTCCATAATTGTATCATTTCATCTGTAAATATTTCAGCATGTATCTCTATAAACTAAGGACTCTCTTTCAGTGTAACTGTAATACCATTGTGACATCGAATTTTAGCAATAATTCCTTGACAATATCTAATTAGTGTTCAAATTTCTAATTATCTCAAATGTAATACTGCTTTATGTTTTTTTTTTAAAATCATGAGTCAAATAAGGTTCACACGATTGGTTGCTATTTCTCAAATTTATTTTACATCTATAGATTCACCCCTCGACTGTTTTTCCTTTAATTTTACTTGTTAAAGAAATGGAGTAATCTATCCTATAGCAGTCCCATAGTTGCATTTGGCTGGTTGCACCCCCATGTTAATGATTAACATGTGCCTCTGTACTCTTGCCTATAAATTGGCAATTGTTTTACTCTTTAATGCAGACCTCTATTGCTTGGAGGTAATCAGGAAAGCAAACTGGCCCTCATTTCAACCAACGTGAAGTGCACGTACAAGAATTAGCTAGTTGTACACATGTTCCAGGTGAACAATGGTAATGCAAGTCTAGTCACAAAGTGACTAAGCTCCTGCCAGAGCCAAGACAAGAAGCAATGTCTTGATCTGGCTCTCCAACCTATCCTTCAAGCTGCGGCATTAACCAGAATGGGTTTTTCCCCCCTTCTAGTCCCAGTTTCTGTCACTGGCTTTATATTCAGATGCTGGGTGATTTTTCTTTCTATGCCTGGATTGCTAAATTATCCAAGTTAAATGATTGTATCTCCTTCTTAGCTATTTCTGATAATAAAAGAAAATAGCGCAGATACACTGAGCTCATGGCAATCACAAAGCACATTCCAACATCTCTCTAGTAAGATCCACCTGCTCTAATCCTAGCATTGAAAAGGATACAATAGAGCCCAGTTAGTACTAAGAACCCCCATCGATGACCAAGGAGCCTCACTCTGTGCTGTCCTGGCCAGGAGTCAGCACTGCTAATCCCTAATATGGGGCATTTTGCAGGACAACGTATTGTCTCTTTGGAGCTACTGTCTCAGAGAGAGTCTCTGTGAGGGTTCCTCTTGTACTTTCCTCTGTACAGAAACAAAAACATTTCCTTTTTCCCTGAACATTCCTCAAAGTGGCAAGCTCCAACATAAAACCAGAGTTCTTCCCAGATTTAGTGACTCTCTTCATTTCTGGAGATACTTCTTTAAACCCCAAATGGTCCTTGGGACATAGAATTGCTTTAACAAGAATCTGAAAGTGACACAGTAGGTTTGATTTGAAAATCTGAGATTTGTGTTTTTTAAAAAAAGTGAAGGGAGGGGCTGGGGAGACAAGACTTCCACTCAAATCTTGGCTCTGGTCTTAAATAAGGGAGCTTGAAAGTGGATATCAGAATTTGATCACAATCACAGAACTTTCAATAAAACAAAGACTCCATGGCCAGGTTGAGTGCAGGAAGTCCTGACACTGGGGCAGGTGTCTGGTCTTTGTACAGCCTGCCTCACCCACACCTTGGACCTCTTAAATTGATTAGCTCAAAGCACCTGTGTTCTGCACGCCTCTGTGCCACCCTGAGGTGCCCTGTCAGGGATTCTCAGCAAGATCAGTGTAACAAAGGGCTGAGGGAGCACCCAGTCATGTTTCCATCCCCAGCTGTCCTCCCCACCTGCTCCAGGACTGACGTCTCCTATGTCACTTAAACAGTAGAACCTACCCTGGTCACGTGGTTTGAATATTTCTATTCTCCTAGCCTTTTACAAACCCAAAATAATCCTTTCAAAAGCATAAATTTGCTTCTGGAAGAAATTCCTTGCAGAATTCCAGAATGACTAAGAGGATAGGAAAAAACCACCAGAAAGGTGATTCTGAGACAGAATTTGGGGAGCCTGCCAAAGCCATCATTTGTGGTCTTCAACAAATCTTCTAACATCAGTGGACTTCCCTTTTCTTACCTCTGAACCCAGATGTCAACCTACCTGCCCTGTCCTCACAAAAGCTACCTCCAGCAGTGGTTCTCACCTTTGCATACTTGAGTCATCTGGGCATTTTCAAAATGCTGATGCCTGGGTCTCATCCCCCACAGAGTCTATTTCAATTGTTTTGGGGTACAGCTTGGACATAGGATGGTTGAAAATCTACCCAGGTGATTTTAATATGCAGTCAGCATGAGAGCCAGTGCACTTGGGGAAAGGGGTCTCATATTTACTTCTAATTCACCCTATGCTGCAGCTGTTGTCCATTGTCATTCTCAACATCACCGTGGGCCACCAGTTGCTGCATGGGTGGTCACCCTCTGCAACTCCTGGACCTCTTTCCCCCTCCACTGGGAGCTGCAGAATGAACACAGAGAAGGCTCAGTTGACCGTGAGAGCCCGGTTCTGTAATTCTGCGTGTTACCACAATACCACGGCTGGATACAGACACGCTGCAAAGTTAGTCTATCTAAAGGAAATCCCACACATACGTTTTAAACTTGAAATGGACATTACATGTGACTATTCCCATGATCATGGGAGGAAAACCAGAAAGAGAAACTTATCATGAGAGGTTGGTTCACAGGGTATACTATACTTCCCGGACATGTTCCCCAATTTAGAGTCTATGATCTTCCAAAGACGCACCTCCTTTTTCAACCCTCTAGCAGGCGTCCTCAAACTGCGGCCCGTGGGCCACATGCGGCCCACTGAGGACATTTATCCGGCCTGCTGGGTGTTTTTGCTACCGCTGCCTTTGCCACTGCTGCCTGTCCTGCTTAGCAGCCGACTCGTCCCGGGCCCGCAGTGCGCATGTGTGGAATGTGCGCCGCACTCTCCGACGGCCTCCAACAGTCTGAGGGACAGGGAACTGGCCCCCTGTTTAAAAAGTTTGAGGACCCCTGCAACAGCTTGGGTCTTGATTCTCCATCTCCCTCAGGTAGGGAAACCTGTCTACAGTCAAGTTCTTTGCCCAGAAATTAGTCCCTTCCCCTCTGCCAGGCAAACCCCGGGACACTGTAATTCCCCCAAGTACATGCCCCTTAAACTGAATCGGTGTCTGACATCACAGGCGGCTTCATGGGGACAGCCACGCGTGGGCTTTGGCCCTCCACATCCAATCTTCCTTGAGATGCCCCCACTAGAGTGAGGGGGGTCACATTTTTTCTGGTTGCCCAGTAGGCACCTCTGGTTTCATCCCACAGATAAGGGAGTATAAACAGCCAAAAACCGTGTCCTGAGCGCCGATTCTAGCCAGGACACTGGCTTTGTTTGACTGGCACAGTATTTTGAGTGTTGAAATTCGAGTGTCTGCCCTCCAGTTTAGCGCGGTGCCCACGTTTCTCATGACCTGTGTCACCCCGGGAGGTACGTGAGTCTGCACTAAGTCCCCTTTCTCTGCCGCCTGCCCCCCAACACGCGTACACAATCGCCTCTCCTAACTGCACCTGCACACTTCACACCACAGAAATTGTATTTCTTCTCTTGGCGCAAAGTAGTGCCAAATTTTTGTCTTTCCTCCTGCTCTCAGTCAGTCTAGGTGCTGAGGTCCCGCCCATGACTAATAAAATGGCCACCTACCTGGCGTCTACACCACTTAACTACACACACCCACAGAAGCGTTGAACGTCAAGATTTTTCTCCTTTTGCCTTTTTAAAAAATTAGATGAACATTTGTATAGATTTTTCTGTAATCCCAGTGCACCTACCAGAGTGATTATTTATCCTATCCAAGAAATCTTCTGGAAACAAGAGGAAAGGATATTATTTTTCATTCAAGTTACACATAAAAGAAACTGCCATTTAATGGGCACCTACTATTTTCCAGTCCCTTTCATTCATTATCTCATGCAATCCTCTTAATAACCCCATCTCATAAATATCATTACAGTATTGAGGTTTGGAGTGATTTGTCAATTTGCCCAAAGTCGCACAGCTAGTAAGTGAAAGATCACCAGTTCAAGACGAGCAAGAATGAGCGCAGCACCAAGCTCTTATCATTAAGTCAAATAGCCTCAGAGATGTACTGTAAGCAGTAAACTAGACAACAAACATGAAGCTATTCTGCAAACTATAAAGTACTCACGATAAATATGTGATATCAGAATGTCTGGCAATGTTTTAATATTGACTTGTCCCTTCTGATGCTGGATCATGAGTTATAATATTTACTTAGGCACCAACCTTGGTAGATCTTGTCCCTGTAGACCCTGTAACCTATACTTTGTTCGAAGTGTCACATTGGGTAGCCATTCTGAGAAAGTCATGAAGAAATGGTCTTTGCAAGTGAAAATAACCACCACCTCTTTGGCCACAAAAGTTATCTATTGAATACTTCATAATTACCAGCACCGCTCTGAGCATGTCACATATATAATCACATTTGCTCTTCACAATAATGCCAGTACAAAGCACACTGTCATTCCATTCCTTGTTTTACAGAGAAGGAAACCGAGGCACAGTGAGGCTACTTAACAGCCCTGGAGGTGCATGGGTGGAACAGATCTGTCTGCCCCAGAACTTTTCTGTTGCAGGGCTTTGAAGGCCTACAGCTCCCCACAAAATATTATTTTTGTGGCAGCCTTCTTTCTTGCTGTCGTCTTGTCCAGAGGTTTGCATCATATTAGAGTTACCTAAGGAGATTTTGCAATTTCAGATGCTAAATCCTGAGTCTGTAAAAACTCACTGGGCGATGCCAGCAGGGTTGGGAACAAGCAGCATCACTGAAAGCCAGGGACAGTGTCCGGGCAGGAGAGGGGAAGGAGGGCCGGTGCAAGTGTCCACAGCCTGGGGAATGCAGAGAGGGTCCGTGACACTTGGAAATACTGTGATGCCGTGTGTCCTCGGGGGAGTGTCAGTTATTAACTTTTGGTCTCCAAGTTCTAAACGTGTCCTTTTTTACCCTGCTCTGTGATCCTGGAGCTGGTCTCTGCCCGCTAGCTACCTCTCTCCTTTGCCAGCAACTCCGTGTCAGGCTCTGCCAACAGAGGGCGCTGGAGGGCGAGCAGGAGCTGGTGGCAGAAGGAGGGATTTTGTCCTGTGTTGTTCAGTCAGTCACTCAAGCAGCACAGCGTATCCTAGGGCCGTGGGGCCCTGATGTCCGCCCCCCCCCCCCGCCTGGTGGGCAGTTCCCGCTCCCTGGGACGGCCCAGGCTGGTCCCTCACTGCGGTCTTGAACCTAAGCCTTGCAGGGCTGTCCTCCACGTGCAAAGTCCCTTCCTTGTCACTATCCCAGGGTGGAAGTCATTCTCTGCATTTGCTACTCTGTATATAACTCGAGGTCCTCTTTCTCCTCTTTCATGAAATAGTTAAGTAAAAAACAATTCTTTTAGTTCAATTCCCCCTGTTCAAATCCTTGCGGTGGTCTCTGGCCTCCCTGGACTTGGACATCGGGTTGCTGGGGAAACCTGCTTTCGACATCGAACACTCTGTTTATAACAGTGCTGGCAGCAGATCACAAAGCCGGGATGGAGGAGAACTTTGCACACGGTCTCCTCGTGCAGCTGGGGTGAGCACGTCCCTTTCATGCAGATAACCCACGTGCTTCTGGAAAATCGACCTCATGGGTGTGGCAGGAGTTAAGGATCCATTCCACCTGGTGATCTGGGTCAAGAAACGGCTCCCTGAGCTGCAGGCTTATTTATTCTGTCCTAGTTAATGCTAGACGTCTGCTTCGATTCCACCGCTCTGTCACAACGGTAGAAGAATTCAACTTAATTAATTTGCAGCCTGCATGTAATTGAGGAGACTATTTCCTGACAACTCTACAGAGATGATTATATTTACATAACCTTAGTTACATAATAGATAACTTATCATTTATTTGCTATATAACTTATTGAATAATAATGCCATTTATACAAGTAGATGGTTATGTGTCTGTGTGCTTTATGTTTATTCTGGTGAATGGTGGTGGCAGTGGAGGAGAGATAAAGAAGTCTTTATTTTGTCTGTGTCACTTTTTTCTTAGGATAAACTTATTCACCCATTTTGATGAAGCTGTTCTGCTCCAAGTTAGCAATGATCACAGAGGTCGTGTGGGGGCTGTGGAGAGGATTCTGGTGTAAGGATGGTAGAGGAAGAGCAACTCTTCCACTGCTTCTACTTATTTTCATTCATTCATTCGCTCATCCGAATGTTTACTGAGTGTCCACTATGTGCCAGACATCATTCTAGTAATGAAAGACACAACAGCTTGCAAAACAGAAAGTCCTGCCCACAGGAATATACATGCTAATGCTTCCTTGGGCAGAGTCTTGGAAAGTCACATATGGCCCCAATACACCTGGGGATTGACTCAAAGGGTGAGGGTTACTTGTGGCTACTGCATTTGGTCTCACACACCCTTAAGGATGCTTGTCCCAGAAAGTGCTACCTGGGCACGAGGTGGTGTCACCTCTAATGGAGGACCTGCCTTTGCATCTGAGATAGAATTCCTCTTCAGAGAAGGGGGTACTGTTCCACCCAGACTCATCTTGAAGAGCCCCTCCTCCACAATAGGGGACGAAAGTCACATCTGAATTGAAATGAAAGACAGACACACCCATATATAAGAGTATAGAAAAACTCTGGAATTGGGGTGTGGCGAGGAGAGAGAGAAAAGAAATGTGTTTCCGTACAAGTGTGCTTTTGAGTCTCATGACATCCCTGACGGGTAGGTGCACAGATAGCATTGCCATCAAGTTACAGATGGAAAAGCTAAGGGGAAATGACTTTTCCAAGGCCACACAGTGAGTGAGAAGTGCATCCTGGTTTTCCAAGCCCAGTGCAGTCTCCATTGCACCAGGCTGCTTTTGAGATGATTGGCATGGATAATTGCAGGAATTCATGAAAATAAAAACGTGACATAAGGTGACGAGGCTGACGTGGTGGAAGTGAAGGCAACATGGAACCAGTATAGAGGACAGGCACACACACTCTTCCTATGACTTTGCTTTAGTCACTGTCATGAAACCTTCCCATGAAGAAAACAACATGGGAGATCATTTCTAAACATCTACCAGCAAGAGATGAATTGCACGAATCCGCAGAACTCGCTCTGGCTCTCCTTACCTCACCCTAATGGTGTCATGGTGCTGACATCTTTTTGCACAGACAGACCTGAGGAAATGCCGGAGTGAGAGCTGTATTTTAGTTATGTTTCTGCTGATCTGCAAGCTGATCTCCCCTGATTGCACTGCGTTCCTCCCCCGCCTTCCTGCTAAGTCAACAAGTACAGATGTTTTTCTGGGGGCAGCAAAATGTACCGGATTCTTGGCTGAGGCACTGCCTGGCTATGACTTTCTGGCATTTCAGGCTCTACCTCTGCCCCATCCTGTAGGGTCTATAGGGTGGCGATCCCCTCTGTCCCACATCATTCCACAGCTCACCACCATTCTATTTAAGCAGGAAAGCAAATGCCCGAGAGAGCCTCTAGTCTGCCACATGGCCACTAGAGGAATTTGTGTCACCATCCCCTCACCCAGGCTTGGCCACTAGGAAGCTCTCACGCCACATTGACTGCCAAGCACTTGGACCCTTATTTTCAGAAGATGAAACACCCGGGTTCACCCAGCACCATTGATCTTGCACCCTGCGGTCCCTTCTGTGGGCTCGGAGCCGTGGTGGCTTTTACCTTCAAGCACGACCATCAGAGAAGCGGTGTTCAAAGGAAAGATCGCAAAAGCAAGTGAGAGGAAAGGCAAAGCAAAGACGACAACTCATCTGGGGAGAGAGACCTCCTCAAGAGTTTAGAAAAAGGATCGAATGCTTCACTACATGATTTTGTGGGGATGGGTAGAAGGGAGGGTAGAATGAAACCAAATGTAGACCCAAACATACCCCCTTCCCTATGAGTAAGTCGCTGTTCCCAGTAACAAAACAAAACAAAACCATAACAGAAAGGCAAATCTTTCTCTCCTTTTCCATGTCAAGGTGAATGTCAGACATGGTCAGGTCTCTACTTTTAATTCACACCTTTGTCTTCCCGCTCAGTTTTCTTTTGGAACCTACTTCAGGCTTGACTTCCTCCATTCCAGCAGCAGAATCGCTGGGGAGGAAGACACCAGGAGTTCTCCAAGCGGCAGGATCAGACAGACGCCACGACCTCAAGGGAACACACCCCATGTTAGTGCCTGCCTTTGAGGAGGCCAAACCAACACTCCTCTCCACCTTCTTGGCCTTGGAGTGTCACTCAAAAAGCAGAGGGGGCCATAGCACGTGCCTGGAGACTGCGTCAAACACGGGGATGCTTCAGGGAAGACTGTAGGCGCCTCTCACCCCAGCTTCTCCCCCTGAGAATCCTGGACCCATATTCTCCTTTGATCAATATTAACTTCTTCAGCTACTCTGCAGTTAGATTAGAGGACCAAATTTCAGGATAACGTGCATAAAATGTTTCCAGGGTTTTGCCATCTCTATAGCGAGGGGCAAAAAGCTTGACTCCCTTGTACCGTGTGGGAAAGTAATAGGACTGTACTGGGAGCTTCCATTTCCCGGCAGAGACTGGCTTCACACGGGGCCCAGGCCCTGCAGGCGGCATTCAACCCATAATAACTTCCTGTTCTTTGCCCAATTACCCCGAGTCAATAGGTCCAACGCAGGCTCAAAGCATAGCCTTTGCAATTTAGGTGCCACAGGTAGCTTCATGTTTGGAGGGCAGAGAAAGGAAAAATAATAACCTTGCCTTGTTCGGGTCCCTGCAGTGTCCCAGTGTCCTGGAGTGTCACAGCTGTGTCTCTCAGACCCATTTAGTGCTCTTTGTCTCCTCTCACAAATGCAACTCCTTCCCTGGTGGGGCCCGGCGGGGGTGGACCATGCACACGGGGGCAGCGCAGGGCTGCTGAGACCCACAGCACAAGGGAGGGGTGCACAAAAAAAACAGAAAGGCTGCAGGGGGGGAGTGTTCACAGGGAGAGATTCCATTAGCTGGAATCTGGCCTGACTCAAGTAACCCCACACCCACCCACCTCACCTTATGAATAGCTCGACAGGACCTTAATGACACTCTCGACACAATAAGCATCGTGTGTGGACGGACTGTGTTCCCACCGCCGTCCCTTTTAGGCCAGGGGTTCAATGCGTGTAACAAACTTTGTTGTTAGACTTTCCTGCTGCAGAGAGGGCTGGTGAAAATCCACATTCCCCCATTCCAGCAGAAAGGAGGGCGGACGTACCCTTTGGTTCAGGGACTCGCTAAAGCAGTGACAAGGTCCTTTTTGCTCCTGAAGTGACGCTCTGTGGCCCAGCGTGTCACTGAGAAGCCCGTTTTGTGCAGCTCCGTCTCAGGTGTTCTACAAGATTGCATAGAGGATGGACAAACTGGGAACAGTTGTTTACTTTAATACCTTAGCCCCGGGGCTTTCTGCCTCAAAATGAGGGTGAACCAACCGGCGCATGCTCTGCCTCGGAGAATTCTCCCTCCCTCTGTGCTGCCCCCCTTTCTCCTGTGCGTTCAGCCTCAAAGCCTGGGCTGGCCTGGACTCTCCCCTTCACCCCACCCGAGTGTGAGCTGGCTGCCAAGTTCCGTCACCCCTGCTTCTGAGATGCGTCTACATGCTCTCCCTCCATCTGAGTCGGGCCCCTGGTCTCTCTCGGGGACAAAGGCGACGCGCGGTCCTGAAGGGTCCCTTCCCCTCCGAGCTCCTCGTGCCCAACCATCCTTCAAACCTGCTAGGACAGGCTTCCCATGACACCCCACAGCGCTGACACTTGTCCCCCTAAGCCGTCTGTGGCTCCCCACTGCCGGTGAGCATAGCCTTTGCAATTTAGATGCCAGCAGTAGCTTCATGTTTGGAGGGTAGAGAAAGGAAAAATAATAACCTTGCCTTGTTCGGGTCCCTGCAGTCTGAGGTTCCTCGTCTGAGGTTGCTCACACACCCTGAGAGGAAGCACGTTGGGTTGATTTGCCGGGCTTCACTTGCACCCCATACTTCCCTGCCTTCCTGCAGACAGACGCCCCACATTCTGGCCCTCCACACAGGACCACACCTCGGTCTTCCAATTCACCGCGGCGACTAGTGCCGGGACTTCCACCTCACCGGGGTGTCAGTCAGTCCTGACGAAAAAGCAGACTCAGTGGGAGCATTTTCGTGCCAGCCGTTGCAACAGCGATAGTCCAGATAACCACAGAGATGCGACACTGCGCACTTCCGCCAGATGATCCTCACCGTGCTGGGGGCCAGGGGTAGCTACTGTTACCCCATTTTGTAGATGAGATATTGTAGATGAGATAATATTCTGAATCTTTGCATTTGTCATTTGCAGGTAAGTGTGAAATGACTGTATGCTTACAGACTAAACGAGATGAGAAAAACAAATATTTATTGAGCACGTAGGTGCCAGGCAGTGGAGTAAGTACTTTCCAATTTGGAGTTTAATCTCACAAAGAACACCACTAAGGGAGCATCATTCTCATTTCTCCGTGAAGGAAACGAAGTCTCAGAGAGGTTAAGGAACTCTACCAAAGCGACACAGCTGGTCGGTGACAGAACTGACATCCGGGCCTGTTTGAACCCCACTGCTAGCGTGTGCCGCCCCCGAACCTGGGGGAGGAAGAGGCTTCACAGCGTGGGAAGCATTGAAGTTCCAGGCTACAGTGACAAAGGGAGTGTTTGAACTTTCTGGTAAACGGTCGCCCTAGTGACGGGCTGCTTCCTCCCACCTGTGCTAACACTCCCTTGCTGGGCAAGGCAGCCTGGGTTCAGAAA